AAACCATAATGAGCCCGCCCATTGTGGTCATAAGTTGTGATTGTTACAAAGTGTGTTAATCACATGACCAACCCCAATTTTTGGCTGTGGTCGTTAAGCAGGCCAGGCATTTTTGCACTTGGCACAGTTTTTTTGGGAAATCAGAAGTAAGAGCCAGTTTTCTGCAAAAACTTTATACAATGCAGTCATGGGATATTGCAATCGTCAATCAATCAATCAAAATAGAGCTGGAAGGGACCTTGGAGGTTTTCTAGCCCAATCGCCTCCTCGAGCAGGAGACCGTATATAAGTTGAGACAAGTGGCTGTGTGTGCTGTCCCATTTATGCCAACATACACCACAGGGGCAAGGAGTCTTTATTAAGGCTTCTGAGCCTCCGTTGATGTTCCCCAGCAGTTCCCTATGCTGGCACCAGCTCAAGGCATGGTAAGACCACAGGCAAAGGCAAGGCCACAGCTGAAGAGACACGATCCAAAGCTCCAGGCAAGAACACAGCAAGAAAATGAACACATTGTTCCCAGCATCGTCGCCATCTGTCTGCTGTGCTAAATAGCCTTCTGGTGCAGCCCATCAAGAAGGGTGAGGCTGCTGCTCATGAGTAATCTGGCTGACCTTCTCTGCTCCTGCCTTTTCTTTGCCCTTCGTCAGGCATGTCAAACTCACGATGTCACGTGACGTCACACGACATATCGGAACTTTTTCCCCATTGCCAGCAAAGGGGGGGGGGTGGTTTTGGCGTGAGGCATCCAGCCCGCAGTCCGGCAGTTTGACATGCCTGCCCTACGTGTTTTCAGATCACGTGCATCAGGCAGTTCTTCTTCCTCATCACTGACCTGCTGCAGCTGCCTACTTTCTCCATCCGAAGCCTCAGGGTTGTCCTGCTGCAGCTGTGTGCTTCAGCCAAATCCCTCTGGACGGCTGCTTGGAGCCATCGACAGCTGCCCTCCTGACATGCCTGGAACCGGTTCATCCTCCTCCGAGCTGACATCTGGAGAAGTATCTGGGGAAGCTTCTGGGGAGTCATCACACTGTCCGGTTTCTTCTTAAAGAACCTCCAGTGTTGGAGCACCCACAACTTCTGAAGGCAACTTCTGTTCCACTGGTTAATTGTCCTCACTGTTAGGAAGTTTCTCCTTAATTCCAGGTTGCTTCTCTCTTTGGTCAGTTTCCATCCATTGTTTCTTATCTTGCCTTCTGGTGCTCTGGAAAATAAGTTGACCTCCCTCTTCTTTGTGGCAGCTCCTCAAATATTGAAACACTGCTATCATGTCCCCCCTAGTCCTTCTTTTCTCTAAACTGGCCATTCCCAAGTCCTGCAACCGTTCTTCATATGTTTTAGTCTCCAGGCCTTTAATCATCTTAGTTGCTCTTTTCCACACTTTTCCCAAAGTCTCAACATCTTTTTTTGTAATGTGGTGACCAAAACTGGACGCAGGATTCCAGGTGTGCCAATGCAGCCATGTTGCTGGGCATTCGGAATTCAGTCATGTGACTACAGGAGAGGGCCAACCATTGAAACCTTGAATCTGGGTCCTAAGACCTCTTTTTTGGGTTGGTTGTAAGTCAGGGGATACTTGCAAATATACACATGTATGTATGTATGTATGTATGTATGTATGTATGTATGTCTCTTTTGAGGCTATTTGGATCTCTCACTGTAGATGTGTTAGTATTTTTTCTTTCTCCCTTGAAAGACACAAAGGGTTGAACACCTTTAATTACCAGAACTACCCAATGAGGGGCCAGAACTTCTGAAATAGAGGCACAATGTACCTATTCATTTTTAATGTCTTGCTTGAAGGTTTAGGGTTAGGGTTCCTTCAAAAGAGCTGTGATAGTATGGCTAGAAAAACCAGCTTTTTGCAGCACTGAGAAAAGCTGACTTTGACATTTCTGAAGTCTTCTGAACTTACATTTCTTTCCAAAAGTCTTCAGTGATTGCCGAGTGTTGTTTACAGAGGAAGACACCTCAGGTGGGGCATCACCGGTGGGGCATAGTTCCTAATTATAAGTAGCTGCAAAGTACCTTCAGCTAGTCCAACGGTAGAAAGGAAAGTAGGACGGTTGTCTCTCTTGAGGTTTCAGGAGAAGTTTCAGCCTTCTGGGGCAAGTTTTGAAGAGTGAGAAACTCTTATTCAGCTTCCCATAACTTCACCTTTGTGCCATCTGAATTCAGTGTCAATCCTACCAGCCTTTTGTACCCACATCGCCCCACACAAGCCGCCTTATTTCTAATGTGATATGAACATCAGGTGTGGCTTCCATTTCTGAAGCCCTGTTTGCTGCTGGATCTCCTTATTGCAAGAAAGACGGTTGATCCTTCTCTTTGGTTCCGATTAGATCTCTCTACCAGCGCAGTTCCACAACTTTCTGCTGTATTCTTCAGCCATTCTCAAGGTTGCCAAGTCTTGGGCAACTTGCGCAGGATGCCCTCCCTATATTATCTGGCCCATATTAAATACATATAGAGGCTCAGTTGGGAGAAAAAAAAGCAATGCCAAGCGACTTTCGTAAAGCTGCATAGAACCCATTATTAAAATTCAAGTTGGTGCTGAGATTATTTTTTTTACATTTAAGATAATTACACAGTGGAGAATATAATGTGGTTTGTTGCTTTGATCCCCCCCCCCCGAACGAGATGTACAAACCTGTCTTTAAGAATCCGGCTTGCATCGTGCCAAATCAAGGTCAGCCTGACTATATTAGGGCTTAACCTGGAAACACAACATAATAGTATCACTTTGGTATATTTATATCCTTTTATGAACCTCTCAGAGGCAGGTGAGATTACTCTCCTATGCCCTCGCCTTTTCTCGTTTTGTCTTCGATGTCTGCTGCCCCATAGAATACACAGATTAGTGACTCACCTGCCCTTTGCTATCATCACACCTAGGTTTCTGGTTGCAGAACCTGATCTACACGCCAGTTGTTGAGCAGGACTGCAAGAAAGGCTTCAATTCCAGGGAGTTTTGGAGAAGGAAACATCCTAGTGGGTTGAACTGGTTGACATTTTAATATAAAAAGAAGCATCAGCGGAGTCAACATTTGTTTCTGTATGTTTCTGTGATTAAAAACAAATGTAGAACTTTTCCTGGGGAGCCTGTGTTGATTGCCGTGCGCTTGGCACAACTTTGATTGCTGTCAGAGGTGACAGGAGCCAGTCCCGCTGTGTTGAGAAGGGATTGTTTTATTGCCATTCAGTGCATCCCTTGGAAATGTTAACGTTCATTCTGAATATATGGAAAGTTCATATTACAGAGAAAGAAGAGTCCAGTCGTACTTTTAAAAATGGCCAGCGTTTTGCAATTGTGAGTATTTAAATTTTTCCGGTCTTTCCCCTCTCTTTCAATGCTGTATTCTTTTAAGGGCGGGACTTCCTGAGTCACAGATAGGAAAATGTGTGTCTTGAAAGCTTACGTGTTCTCCTGTACTTAACAAGCATTCATTCACTGACTGTTTGACGCTGAAAGAAATGTCTTAGGACTGTTTTTCACACTTATAACCGCGGCAACATCCTCCAGGGTCACGTGATCAGAATTCAGACGCTCTGCAACAGACTCGTATTTACGACAGTCGCAGCGTCCCCAGGTCACGTGATCCCCTTTTGCGACCAGAGTCAATGGGGAAGCCTGATTCACTTAAGAACCATTACTAACTTATTAATGGCAGTGATTCACTTAACAACAGGGGCAAGGAAGGTCGTAACATGGGGACAAAACTCACTTAACAAATGTCTCACTGAGCAGCAGTGATTTTCTTTATAGCCTAGAACAGAACAGAACAGAATAGAATAATGAAATGGAATATAGAATAGAATAGAAAATAGAAAATAGAAAATAGAATAGAATCTGCTCGCTGGCCTAAGAAATTGAGCCCTCCTGCCTGTCTTGTTGTAAGGTTATTAATGCCATTAAGCCCCGTGCCTTTCCTACCGAAAATTGCAAAGTTTTATTCGTTCTTTGGGCCCTTAATAATTTACTTGTTCATACAGAAAAGAGGAACATAAATTAAAGAAATACATGGCTGGTTGTTTTTTTAAAAAAATCCTCTGGAAAAATTCAGAAAACGTTCTTCCTCCCTCTCTCGCTCCTTTGATCCTTCCACCTGTCCATTCTTTGATATTCACTGTGGACTTTCTAGTGACCTTTGCCTTCTTCGTGGATGCTTGATTAGCAATATTGCCACCCTTATTATTAGTATCTGTTGCATATTTTTCAAATATTTCTTTCCTCCTTTTCTGGCAGCATCTGTTGTGTTGCCATTCTTTTGGAGAATTTCTAATTGAAGTTTTAATTGAACTTTCTGGGAATTGAGGACAGTTGGCGAATTAACACTTCAGCCAACTATTTATGAAGAGGTCTAGAGGAGAATAATTCCTTGGTGTGTCTCTCTTTTCTTGTTTATCATTCTTTGGGCTGCAAGTTGATTGAGGCATTCAAATCTTAGCGTTTGCTGCTTTGTTTCGGTGTCACGGCGGATGCGGATCGAGCGATGTTACCTAGAGCAGGGGTCTCCAAACTTGGGAACTTTTAAGACTTTGTGGACTTCAACTCCCAGAATTCCTCAGCCAGCAGGGCTTGGCAATTTTGTGCTGACGGCAGTCCCAAACTACATTTGAAAACGATTATCTAGGTTGGCTTCTTTAAGCAGAACTTACTAAGAAGTTTACAAAGGAGGAACAGATTTGTGATTTTATAGAAAAGTGAGGTTTTAGACATTCTAGGTGTATTTATGTCTACAAAAATTGACAATCCCAGCGGCCCCCAACTTTTTGGGCACCGTGGAAAGAGATTTTTCCGTGGACAGGAGTGAGGGACGTGGTTTCATGTATTGCCTGCATCCTGTGGATGGGGCTTTGCTTGTTTGTGCATCCTGATTTGTGGCATGCCACACCCCAGCGGTGCCAGTCCACGGACCAGGAGACCCCTGGACAATCCCGTGCATGTTCTCGTAATAACATTTTTCACGTTCCTTTTTTTTTTTTTTTAGCAGGGAGAGAAAATGGAACGCAACGGCTCCCTTTGCATCCAACGCTGGTCCACCAGACACGTGGCCAAGTGGCTGAAGGAAGAAGGCTTTTGTGAGTATGTGGACGCTCTGTGCGATAAGCACCGGCTGGATGGGATCACGCTCTTGACTCTGACGGAATACGACTTGCGCTCCCCGCCCTTGGAAATCAAGATTCTGGGAGACATCAAGCGGCTGATGCTCTCCATCCGCAAGCTGCAGAAGCATCACGTCGACCTTTTGGACGAGCTGGGCTACAGCAGCGAGAGCCCCCTGGGGTCCCTGCCCCCCGTGATCGGCTGCGTGCAGGGGAGGGAGTGGTTTTGCAACGGCGACGTGCAACGGGACTGCGATGACTGCGAGCCGGTCTCCGAGCTGAGCGCCGAGCAGTATCAGTACACCAACGGGAAGGGCAAGCACTCTCCCCGGAGGCTGAACCCCGAGTACTGGAAGACGGCCCTGAGCTGCATCTACGTCTTCATTGTCTTCGGCTTCACCTCCTTCGTCATGGTCATCGTGCACGAACGAGTGCCCGACATGCAGACCTACCCACCGCTGCCGGACATATTCCTGGACAGGTAAGGACGCCAAAGGGGCCTGTTTGGAGCAGAATTGAGTGGGTGGCGTTATTTGTTGTCCCCTTTTTCCCCAGGAAGCTGATTGTATGCACAAACTTTTCTTATAAGTATAGAAATTAGTGGGGAGTGAGTTAAATGCAGGGTCTTGCTACTGAGAAGCCCATCTGTGCAATATGTTCTAGGCCCATGAATCTCAGGGAAAACGTTACTAAATCTTCTTATTTGTTTGTTTGTTCGTTTGTTTACGTGAATGCAGCTGTGCTTTTTGGAGTACAGCTTCAGGAATTCTGGGAACAGAAGTCCACACATCTTAAAAGCTGCCACGGTTGAGAAACAACTGGCTCAGCCCCACCACATCGTAATATGTGGGACTGCCTATGTGATTTCTAAAGCGGCTTGTATCATATCTGGGTTGTGGGGTCCTTGGTGCTCCCTGATCTTGGTGGTTCCTGTCCCGCAGCCATTTCATTACCCAGCTAGGTTACCTCATCAGTGCTGGGATGTCTTGATTCCTGTTGCCATGGAATCAGACATCTGAACTGCTGGATGCTGTTAGCTGAGGTCAGTTTGGGGCTGACGTCAGCCCAAAATTGTCACGATAACAACCGGCTGCAGGTTCCAGGCCAGGGGGTCCCCAAATCTGGCAACTTTGAGGCTTGTGGACCTTAAGACTGTCTATGACCCAGGTCCCTCCGACAGTGAGACGGGCAGCATATAAGTTTAATAAATAAATAAATTCCAGTGTTGTAAACTGGATTTGTGTGAAGTATGGGTTCTGGGGCAATTCAAGCAAGATTTTAACTTGCCTGGGGCGAGGCAGATAACTCTAAATCATACTTGTTCCAAATCTGAGCCTTCAATTAAATCCCGGCCCCAAACCAAACCAATGTTTGTTGTTGCTGCCCAACAGCGGGGTGGGGTGGGAAGGGGCGGCCAGCTGGTTCTGCGGTCTTCTTGACCGGCTCTCTGGCCAGGAAAGCCTCTGCAGTCGGAGCGTCCTTGGACAGGCGGCCTGACCGTGAGCACCCCTCCAATCCGAGGCAGGCCAGCTGTTGACAGAACAAACCACCTCCTAACTTTGATGTTACGTCATCAGAGCTCTCTGGTGAGGCTGCCCCAGGGATGCCAAGGCAAAGGAGTTCCAAGGCCAGCAACGGAGAGTTTTAAAATGGGTGAGAATACACCCTCCCTGAATTCGCTCCAGAGTTCAAATCTGTTGATTGACCCTAAGCACTACACAAAATATCGTGTTTATTTTTATTTGCATTTAATTTAGAAAGCACCCATCTCACTCACCGTAGAGTACAGGGAGTCCTCGACTTAACAACGGTTCATTTACTGACCATTCAGAGTTACAATGGCACAGAAAAAAGTGACTTAGGACCAGTTTCCGCACTTGCGACCACTGTAGCACATGATCAAAATTCAGATGCTTGGTAATTGACTCGTATTTACGACGGTTTCAGTGTCCCCTTTTACACCGTGCTGACTGGCCAAATCAGTGGGGGGGGGGAGAAGTCAGATGTACTTAACAACAGTTTGACTAATTTAACAACTGCAGTGATTCACTTAACAACTGTGGCAAGAAAGGTCGTAAAATGGGGCAAACTCACCTAATAAATGTTTCACTGAGCAACAGAAATTTTGGGCTGCATTGTCGTCGTATGCCGAGGACATCATTGATCAGCAGTGGTAGCAGGAATATTAACACCCTGAATAAAATGGATGCTGTATCTTAGTACCGTATTTCCCCGAATATAAGCCCTAGCCCAGGGGTAGGCAACCTTGGCTCTTTTATGACTCGTGGACTTCAACTCCCAGAATTCCTGAGTCAGCTATGCTGACTCAGGAATTCTGGGAGTTGAAGTCCACAAGTCATAAAAGAGCCGAAGTTGCCTACCCCTGTCCTAGCCTGATTTTTTTTTCAGGATGCTCGTAATATAAGCCCTGCTCCCAAAATAAGCCCCAATTAAGATCATCAGCCAGACGGACACATTTAGTACCGTATTTCCCCGAATATAAGCCCTAACTGGAAAATAAGCCCTAATGCATTTTGGGGGGCAAAAATTAATATAAGACCGGCCTTATTTTTGGAGAGACATGGTATTTATTGCGTCCCAGGGAAGCTAAAAAAAAAACAAACCCAAATTTATCAAATTTATTGCACCCCGAAACAATTCAGTCAGAGTTCAGTTTATTTTTTTAAAACACAGTGACAAAAATAATGACACTAGATTTGACTGATTCCTGTCTAACCTACTCATAATAATTGCTTTTTAGTGCTTAATGTTTTTTTTTTTTAAAAAAAAACAAAAATATAATTCTCCAGTTTGATTTCATTTGGGAACCGATCGTCCTGTAGCTCCGTGAACAAAGGCCATTTCTTAGCGTGCGCTTGTTGTTTTGTGCCGGCCAGGTCCCTTCCCCTGCCATTCTCCGCTCCCATTCAATGTCACCGGACACTGGGTTCCTTCACACACAGGCCAGTAACCGAGTCACTTATCAGTCTGAGCTGAGAACAAACAAAACAAGCTGTGCTGGGTCTGAATGTTATCTGTGACCACCCAGATCCTTGAATTTAGGCATTGTTTTCATCCTGTCTCTGCATTTAAGAATACCAGAAAGATGACTTATTGAGTGCCAGATCTTATTCTAGGTTAAAAGTGTGACTTTCAGGCACAGGGTACCTCTGCGAAGACTCTAACCAGCAAACAAGGCAAGGAAAGGACACACCCCAGCTCTGTGACCTGTAGTAACCGTTGTGTGATTGCTGGATTACGTCACATCTGCTAAGGTCACGCTGTCTCGCTCCCCCCCTCCCACGCGTGATTTCCAGAAAATGATTGCAAAAGACTTTGAAGACAAGTCTGGATGTTTGTTAACCACAAAAGAATCTGTGGCCATTATAATGCTCGAATAGATAGGATCAGATAATTAATCTTGGTTTAAGCCTTAAGATCAAAAGGATTTTACTCCATTCTCTAATCCAAGCGATGCATTGTTGGTATACTGTATGTCCCCAGAGACATTGTCTAGAGCAGGGGTAGGCAACCTTGGCTCTTTTATGACTCGTGGACTTCAACTCCCAGAATTCCTGAGCCAGCTGTGCTGGCTCAGGAATTCTGGGAGTTGAAGTCCACGAGTCATAAAAGAGCCAAGGTTGCCTACCCCTGCTCTAGAGTATATAAAGATGCTTCAAATTTGTATAACAAGAAGGGGCACTTTGTCATGTTTGGTGCGATGCTGGCTGAGGAATTCTGGGAGTGGAAGTCCATAAATCATAAAAGGGCCAAGTTTGAAGACCCCTGGTCTAATCTCTCGAGGTGTTCGCTCTTCTAGACATTTCTAGTAGAAGATTAAATGCCCTGGGTTTTTTTTTCTCCCCTTCAAAGAAACATCGGTAAGAAATGGATAGCTTATAGCTGCCCAGTAACAAATGTTTGGGAAACCGTTTTATATAATTGTATTAAAAGTTTTAAAAAGGAAGGTAAAGGCTAATATAAAGTAAAAGGAATAAAAAAGAAAGCTAAAAGTACAAGAAAGGAAACAAAGAAAAAGAAAGAAAAAAGATACAGTGACTTCCCATCTTCTTTACAGCAATTACAAATACAATTATAAATTTACCTCTTTCACTAAAGTTATAACATGTCTCTCTTCATTCTATAATTCATCCTGTTTAATTATCAAAACCATAAATCGTAAGTTCATTTTTGTTTTGTTTTGCATCCCCCTTGACAAAATTCTAGTATCTCATCATAAATTAGCCATGTTTGCTTATTATTTCTCGTCCAGAAAACCCATCTTGTGCTGAGAGCAACAAAGATATTTTTGGGCACAGCCTAGATTTGTATCTATCCCATATTCTCAGTGTGGCATGTCCAACATAGCAATTTTTAAATTCCACATTAACCTTGACTTCGTTGTGCCGCAAGTATCCATGCCACCCAAACCTCAGGAACTGTTCTTCCACAGGTCTTTTATTTCTCAGCAACACCCCACTCTTTTGTCCAAAGAAAACAGCAAGCTGCAAAACACAGTTTCAGATCAGGTAGACCCAACCATCCTCTTTCCTTTGCACCCCCTAACATCTTATATTTAACTTGGGGTTTCCTCTCTTCCTCCCCCCCCAAAAAATTAGATACATCCTTTTCTTTAAATGATGCATCAATTGTCAAAACAGTTATTGTCTGAAACAAAAACATTTTTGGCAGGACATTCATTTTTATTACAGAAATTCTCCCCAGCAGTGACAATTGTAGTTCCTCCCATCTTAACATATCTTTTAAACTTCATTCCATGTCTTTACATAATTATTTTGAAATAACATACATCTTTGCCATGGGAATACCCAACTATTTTACTTTCTTCTGAATCTTAAAACCCGTTTTCATCACTTCTTTTGTTAACGTCTTCGTTTTCTGTTTGTTGATCTTAAAACCAAATGCACCAAATTCTTTTAGTTTTCCCATTAATGTTTCAATTCCCTTTTAAGGATCTTCCCAAACCAACACCAAACCGGCTGCAAAAGTCCTAACTTGAAAGTTTCTCTTTTTAGCCTTACTCCCAGAATTCTTTAACCTTGTCTTATAATCAATATTTCAAGAATCAAAATAAATGAAAGGAAACAGTGTGCATCCCTCTCTTTTTCCTTACTGTATCTCACAAGGCTGTGCTAGATCTCCCATTAACAACAGTTTCCGCTTTCTGTGAAAATATAAACTCATCCTACCCATTTTATAAAGTTCTCTCCAAATAATAGCAAAAGGAAGCATCAGGAACGCAAAACGTTCATTCTATAGGCTGTTTCTCAACTGATTCACTTTCTGTATTAGCCCATTAAGGAGTGAGACATCTGGGGATATTGTAGGAAGTGTTTAGTTGTTGCATTTAAAAAACATGGTGGTTTTTTTTTGTCGTATTTAAAAATGGGACCTTTTTAAGTTTAAGTCAAGATCTGCCCCAGATTCCCACCCTTCTCACACTTAGTTTTGTTGCCTCAAGTTTTAGGCTTCACAATTAGCATTTTAAAAGGCGACAGTTGCCCTTTCAACTTGGTAATTCAAGACTCTCTGTTTCTAAGAAAACATGCTTTCCTTTTAGCCAAGGCCATTTCTTTTGGCATGCGAGAACTGGCCTTCTCAACAACCACACATTAGAAAGTGTATTCTGAAAGTCCTTGAGTACACTAGCAATTTTCCAGGAAGATACATACCCAGCTTGGGAAAAATAAGGTAACCCATAAATTTGTCACATGTGGAATGTTTAGAATCAATGTTTTCTATTGTTCAAACTTCAGGCACAATCAACATATTTTATTGTTTGGTTATTTGCTTACCGAGCTATTAACATATACTGAATGAATGTAGCTTTTGTTTCTGTAAAAGGACTCTCCCCCCCTTTAATAAATGCTTTATGCTTTGCCTGAATAACTTGGTGATTCATATTTTCAAGTGGGCAGAGAAGCAAAGGTAAAAATGTCCTAAATTCAGGGATCAAGTTCTTATCAGTTCCATGCTAAACCTGGGGTGCTGGAGTTTGGAGGCAACAGTCTGATAATTTTTAAGCTTTTAAAAATATATTTTACCAGAACAATAGACGTCAAAATTTTGTGATTTTAAGATTATTCAAGGTTTAAGATTTTTCTGTTCTTGGAGAATTATTTCACAGGAGGCATTCGCTTTCAGTTTATGCAACGTTAAAAGGAAATAATTATATTAATATCATATTAAGCCTTCAGCTGGATTCCAAGGATATAGTTATACTAGTATCATATTAATTAAGTCTTCAGCTGGATTCCAGTCTACTGTCTTTCTCTGTCATTAGTTTGATTTAATCTTTAGTTCTTAATTCTATCTTTGGTCCCTCCCAGGTGATGCTTCTTTCCAAATTTGCTTCCTAGATACCGACTTAGTCATAATTCATTTTCGGTAATGACTGAGTCTTGGTCAGTGAAAGGGGAGCTGGCAGGAAGAAGGATCTGATTAAGGCAGGCTTAAATCTTCTTCATATTTTGTAGAGATGTCTGTTCCTTACATCTTCTGCTTTCCAGAAGAAACAATGACGAGAAGAAGCAATGAGAGAGGGGGGGAGATTAACAGTGTAGGAAGCAGATTTGAAAAAATAGGCACATGGGGAACACGATTACTCCATGAGTCAGTACTGACTCTCCTTCAACCCCTCTGGACTGGGGTTTGCCTATGAAGACAAAGATAATACTACAAGGGGATCCCTACGCCCAAAGTCAGTTCCACTGCGAAACTGGGCTCCCCAATTTCTCCCCAAACTCTTGCCTCACAAAGTCAACCGCTCCTTGTACAAGTCAAGAAAACATCGCATCCTCGCCCGTCTTTCTGGTCTGTTGTATTTGCAATTGAACGATGGAAGGAACCCCGCTGGCTGCCTTTCTCCAGTTGTTCAGCTGTCACACATCTTGCATCACTCTCCTTTTTCAGTTAATAAATCAAAGTATCCCTTTAATTGAAGATGCTCTTTTGATTGTCTACCCCACAACTAGATCACTCCCCTGCTTTATATAGTGCGGTTGCACGAGTTTAAGTAGAAAGTAATTCTGTGTGGCTTCTTGCTGGTGATTGATGCTCTTTGCAAACTACAAGTTGCCTTTGCTGTGCTGTGTTTGAAACACCGTTCTGTCGGTCTGTCTCACAAGAATGTGCAATACAATTGTCGCGATCACAGTTTCTGAGCAGTTTTACATCTCCCATTTAAGCTGAAGTCAAAGACTTTGACATGGTTCATGTTGTTTATTTATTAAATTTATGTGCTGCCCATCTCACTGTCAGGAGAATCCGGGAGGCTCACGATCACATCAAAGCAAAAATAGAAACATTAAAACTTTTAAAGAAATTAACTATTAAAAGGAACAAAATTTAAATAAGTTAGAAATCAGAACTCAGTGGGGTGGTGGGTGGGATCTTCTTCCTTGCCCGTTAACCACCTGCAACCTAGAACATCGGAGTCGGAAGGGACCTCGGAGGTCTTCTAGTCTAGTCCAACCCCTGACCCTAGTCCATTCCGGAGAAATGGCTGTCCGTTTTTTTTAAAGGCCTCTGTCGTGGCCCCAGGCCAATCAGCAGAGCCAGGCCTTGGGGGCCTTTTTTCGAAGGCCGGGAGGGTGGGTCTCACCTCCAGGGTCACAAGGCTCCAGAGGACAGAAGCCAGGACGGAAAAGGCCCATCTCCCGCTCTCCACCGCGTGGAAGTCCGCGGCCTGCCCCTTCTGCCAAAAGGAGCGGGGCGGGCCAGCCCCATTGGGGCAAGAGGCTCCCTTGGGAAGCCCAGACTCACGCCGGAGATTAACGCTGCTTCTCTTTTCTCTCCTCAAAGCGTCCCGAGGATCCCCTGGGCTTTTGCCATGACCGAAGTGTGTGGAGTGATTCTCTGCTACATCTGGCTGCTGGTCCTCCTCCTCCACAAGCACAGGTAGGCCCCTGCTTCCCCCATGAAAGACGCCGCGAGATTTTCTGCTGTCCATCGCAAATTCCAGAAAAACAGGGAACAGAATGTAATTTTACTATTAACAGTGAAATGAACTGTTGTAAGTCAAGGACTACCTATAGAGTTTCATTTTGATATGAAAGAAACATGGCTTGCTTGTGGCATACACACATGTGAGTGTTGAAGGCTTAGTAAAGTTACCATGAGTTTTTCACCCAGAAGGAGACATTTATGTCGTGGAACAGAGGTCTTCAAACTTGGCAACTTTAAGACTTGTGGACTTCAACTCCCAGAATTCCTCAGCCAGCCCTGGCTGGCTGAGGAATTTTGGGAGTTGAAGTCCACAAGTCTTAAAGTTGCCAAGTTTGAAGACCCCTGTCATGGAAGAATCAAACACAACTGATATTGTGGACATTCCAAAATGTTGTACTTGGATAGTTACGATGGTAAGACATCCTTAGGGCAGGGGTGTTTTGATAGCGTATATAGTATGTTTAAGCCCTGTAGTAGACATCTTAAAGGTAGTACTTATGGTGAGAGATTGCATTTCTTGGATGATTGGATGAACGTCACATACAGCTCATATTAAATTTAGTAAAAGTAAAGTTAAATCTAATGGGGATCCACAGCCTTTGGTAACCAAGTCTGATTGCGATCAACTGCCTCTTGCTACGTCCATATCCTTGTTCTGTATCTCCCTGTGGGATGAAGGATTATCTCTGCTGTTCTTCTAAGTTTGGACTGGTCTATGCTAGAGGCTTGTTGCTGGGACCAATCCTGAATGAGAACCTGGTTTGTAGAGTCATCGTTTCCTGACATACATATAATTTGTAGCAGTGGTGGGATTCAGCCGGTTTGCACTGCTTCGGCAGAACCGGTAGCCCAGGCCCAGAATGGACTTCTGGAAGCGGCATCCACACAGAGAACCAATTGTTCACATATTTGAATCCCACCACTGATTTGTAGGCTGTGGACTTAACAGTTCAAAAATTTAAGCTAAGGGTATAAAGAAAAGGGGAAATACTCAAGCTAATTGAGTATATAGTCCAATAGATTGCCATGTTTTTCATCTCAAAGAATAGGTGAAGTGTCAAAAAGCATAACAAGGATTTCCCCATGTTTGTAGTCAAATAAGAGTCCTTAAACCAAATATTCATTTTTCATGGGATCACCTTTTAACTGCAGGGAAGATGCGGCTACTTTAAAGAGCTGCTGTGGGAGGGTGCATTCACATAGCCCTAGCAAGTTAATTCAGAGAAATTGTGCACACAAACAAAGCCAAAAGCTTGGATCCAAAGATGAGTTCAATTAAATACATTTCTAGAAAAGACTTTTCAGATCCCCGATACCCCACTGCATTCTTCACGAGGCAGACGGAGAGGGGATCCCTCCGGAACAACATGAGGTGACAATCCTGGCGAAGTCAGGGAGGGCAAATTGTCATTCCATGAGCTTCATAAATTGTTGAAAGCAACTCTTGTTCCTAGATCTATCCTTTTGCGACGACAATGCAGCCTGATGGGAACTGTGTTCTTGTTACGTTGTGTAACCATGTTTGTGACCTCGCTGTCTGTGCCAGGGCAACATCTGCAGTGTTCTGGGAAGGTAAGTCGGTGAGTCTTCCAAGATCTTGGGCAAAGACCTTCGATGTTGTCACCAAAGACATTTTTGAATTTTTTATAGATATGTCATATTAGTGTTATGTTAGCCTGTGTTCTGCACAGACCCAGTCCTTGTATCTTGAGGACAGAGCGATGAACTCTGATCTTTACTGGCAAAATGTGGAAGCTTTGAGTATTGGCAAAGTACTGTACAACACGAGAATGATGATTGAAATGTTTGCGGGTTTATTGTGCCCGTATAATCTACATTTGGGGACTTTGAACTCTTTAAAATGGGACAGACCATTAATGTATAAAACTCTTTTGTGCAAACAGAAGGGCAGTTGAAAAGTAAGCCAATCTAGGTTAACTGTTGTCATAATTTATGCTAATACCTGAACTGAATACAGGTAGTCCTCAGCTTATGACCACAATTGAGGCCAAAATTTCTGTTGATAAGGGTGACAGTTGTTAAGTGAGTTTTGCCCCATTTCAGATCTTATAGTTGTTAAATGAATCACTGCAGTTGTTAAATTAGCTACACAATTGTTAAGTGAATCTGGCTTCCCCATTGCCTTTGCTTGTTGGAAAGTGTCTGTCAGAGCGTGCATAGTCTTATTGCGCGAGATAACCCAGGAGTAAACACAGTAAACAGTGGTCTATATTAAATGGTGGTTTATCTTACACTATCTACAATATCATACAACAGGAACAATATACATACACGTGCTAATACAGCAGGATCCAACACACAGCAGTTACAGCAGGAAACGGAAGAGAGAGCACACATCTGCGGAGCCTTCCCTTTTATACAAGGGCTCTTAAAGAGACACAGACCCTGCTGAGTCATTGCCAACATTATATCATAGATTACATCAGCTGGTTAACTTCTAAATCATTACCTTGGCAGTCTCAAAATCTGATCACATGACCCGGGGACGCTACAACCTTCATAAATACGAACCAGCTGCCAAGCGTCTGAATTTTGATCACGTGATCACCCATTGGGATCCCCATATGAAAACAACTTACCTTATGTACTTAAGCAAAATGGCTCAGTTGAGATCTGTGTATGTGGGACTGATTGGGGTAGATTGACAGGGGTGACATTGAAATATAATTTTATCATATTTTATCTATATCTTAAATTATTGTATTCTATTCCAATTTCATTTTAGACTGCATTTTATTCCAATTTCATTTTATTTTATCCCAATTTCATTTTAAATTGTATTTTATCCAATTCCATTTTAAATTGCTTTTATCAAATTTTAGTCACAATTTGTTTCTGGAACTTTGCCCTTTGATATGGGCCAAGGGCAGATGATAGATGATAGATAGATAGATAGATAGATAGATAGATAGATAGATAGATAGATAGATAGATAGATAGATAGATAGATAGATAGATAGATAGATCACATGATCATGAGGATGCTGCAAACGTTATAACTCTGAAAAATGGTTTGAATGCTCATTAGATGAACCCGTAAGTCGAGGACCGCCTGTGCAGGACACTATTTACGGTGGGGGTGGTTGCTGCATTTATCTGGGGTCTCCCTTCTTCTTGATGTGTTCCTTTTAAATGTGGTGCATGCTTCTGATTCTAGTTATATGGCAACGTGTGGGCAAAACTTCAGCGAGCTTTTGCCATTTGGAGTGGATTTGGCATGACGTTAACTGGCGTGCACACCTGTGGAGACTATATGTTCAGTGGCCATACGGTTGTCCTGACTATGCTGAACTTTTTTGTCACGGAATGTAAGTAGAGAATTGAAAAACGGAACGCGATTAATGTCCAGCCAGCTTGCCACAAACCTTCCTCTCCTCCTTTCTGGTGTTGTGCAACATTCCTTGCTCGGCAGATCACGCAGACACACGTCAGATGTTGCTCAACTCCAACCCCCACCGAGAAGTCCTGTTGGATGGAGCTGCTGGGAGTTGTAGTTTGGCTGCTTCTGGAGCTCCCCCCCCCTCAGCTGCCTAATTGTGAAAGAAAGTTTTCAGTCTGTGGGGGAGAAAAAAAGAGGTTTCAAGTGGAGAAACCAGAATCTATTAGTGTTCGTGGTTGACCCCCATTTGGGATAAACATAATTGGAGAAGAACTATTGAATACCGCATGTTCCCATCGTGTGTGTGTGTGCCGTTTTGTTTTAGAAATACATGTGAAAAGGACTTATTTATAATTTTGAAATGTTTTACCGGCACCCGCATTCGTGATCTGCATACTAATTCTGCATTTAACCGGTCCCTTACTTGTAAGACATCTAATGCAAGCGTCATGAAAAGTAGCTATGCCTGTGTCTGTGTTGATGTTCTGGAAATTAAATTATAAACTGCAGGCAAGCAGATATCCAGGCCTTAGACTTACAGTCGGAAGGGCAAAATGAGAGAATGAGAATGGAAGATAAATATAGTGCAGACCTTGTTATTACAAGGCCAGAGTCCGTGACTGCTGGGCAGCCTGTTATTATTATTAAGCATTTCAAACCACTGGGGTCTGGGTTGTTATTCCCGCTAAGAGAACAGGTTCCAGTAATTTTTTTGTAATCTTTCGTGACTGGAACTGTTCTTCCGTTCCAGAGCCCTTCCCGAAGCTTAGCCCAAGCCTTCCTGCTTGCTTCTAGTTCACTGTCTTGCCCAGAACATGTCTAGAACGCAGTGACGAAAAGTTCCAAGTTATGGGTGGTTGACTCCTGTGTTCCTTTTAGATACCCCAAGAAGCTGGAACTTTTTGCATACGTTGTCTTGGGTGCTGAATCTCTTTGGGATCTTCTTCATTTTGGCTGCTCATGAACATTACTCCATTGATGTCTTCATCGCCTTCTACATCACGACAAGACTCTTCCTGTACTATCACACCCTGGCGAACACCAGGGCCTATCAGCAGAGCCGGAGAGCCAGGATCTGGTTCCCCATGTTCTCCTTTTTTGAGTGCAACGTCAACGGCACAGTTCCCAATGAATATTGCTGGCCCTTTTCAAAGCCGACCATACTGAAAAGGCTAATTGGCTAAAGAATATTCCAGTTTAATTCACATCTCTATGAAGTACTTGCAACTAACCTTCTTCAAGAAACGCTGGGGCAGGAAGGATTGTTCTCACCCACCGCATCTCCTCCGGCCTTGTTCATCCTCTCCTGGCTGATAAAGGTTCAGAAGAGACCGAAAACACATTGCCTTTTTTTTTTTTTTTAAATATTCAGGCAAAGTTGTTAAGTTGTAATCAAGTTCTGCATGGATGTGGTGAGGCTAAAACGGCGGGTTCAGCAAATCTTAACAGCTTTCTTGTTGGGAGGATCTTAAATGGATCTTTGCTGCAGGAATAACTTCAGATCCAGGTATTACCTAAGCAGCTTTGGGGCCTGTTTGCACATTGTGGGTAACCATAAATAGCTATTGACAAATTCTGGTTTGCGCCCTGTAGATGGCCCTTGACTTTGGTGTGAATTATGACTTATTAACCATTTTGAATGGTAGACACACAGTTCAAAGGCAAGGCTTACAATCCGGATGGGACTAATAGTAGCAATCTAACAGCCGCTTAGGTCCTACCGTTGAAAAGTATGTTTGAACGTGAAAAATGGCGAACAAGCTGGCGACGGAACTCCCTTGCTCAGATTGCTTGTGGAAAGCAATAACGCATTGCAGGCCGGGCTCTGGTGGGATGCGTTCACGCTTAGCTATGTAAGGCGTAAATGTGATGTGCAAGGACATCTGTCGTAGCTTGGACACATACTCATACTGACAAAAACGTCACAGCCGTTCAGTAATTGCCTCTCAATATTTATTTTAGCAAATAAATGAGTTGGGGAACATTCACCCGGGGACACAAGTTCCAAAGCCTTCAGTATGAAAAACATAGGCTGTATTAATAAAAGGGGCAAGATTGGTGTTTCTGGTGAATGAAACCAGGAACTGGCTGACTTAAGATAAACGAATTGATGCCGTTTGTGTCATCCAGAGGTCCTGAGTGTTTACATTTCATTAAACCGGTAAGAAATATATTAGAAACGAGGTTGATTGAGATTTATGTGCCACAACTCTTTCAGGGCAGTATTAAACACTTATTTAAATCCGTGCATGCTTTTTAAAACGTTGATGTTAGGGTAGTAATCCTGTTAAATTGGGAGGCAAGCTAATAATGTCGCCTTGAATAAAGGTTGAATGGAGGCGTCTTAACGGGTTTTTTGTGAAGCACAGGGCGATGCCGCAGTGGGTGGGATAGGAGCCTGTTTCCCTCCCCTTCGCTGGTAGCCTTCAAAGACATCTGACATTGGCAGAAGCTGAACTTTAATTAGCTGCTCGAGAAACTTCTGAGATGCTCATCAGTGCAGGTTAAACGATGGAAGTTTGGTGGCTTCAGTCACCATCACTTTTCTTGATGAATAGACCGATGGCCAAAGGTAAGAAAACAAGCTAAATACTTGGCACTCGGAGCTCCTGACCACCCTCTCTCTTATTTTTTTCCCCCTCTCTGAAACCTGCCTTTCATAAAAGCTGCTCCGTTTCATTCTTGATCTTTTAAACCAGTGTTTCTCAACCTTGACAATTTTAAGGCATGTGGACTTCAACTCCCAGAATTCCACAGCCAGCAACGCTGGCTGTGGAATTCTGGGAGTTGAAGTCCACATGTCTTAAAATTGTCAAGGTTGAGAAACACTGTTTTAAACCATCTGCTCAGTTTAAAGTTGGGAGCCCCAATAGCCTAAAAATGGGAGGTGGTTTTGTGGATTAAAAGGACTTCAGCCTTTTGAAAAAGAGTACCGGCGATTTGAAATCTGGAATGCAAGGTTTGTCACTTCCATCGTACAAATTGAGTATTCCAAGTTGTTTGCAACTGGATTTTTTTTTTAAATTATACCGTGCATATGGATTATTTGCAATCCATTTCTAATTTAGACTTTTAAACCTGACATTAAAAGTTGCACTCAAGTCAGTTATATAGTCTTAGTAACTTCACAGAGGGCAGTGAATTTCAGTGACCCAAAATAGTGCATCTGTCCTTTGGCTTGACTACTTAATTAATTAATTAATCAACTAATTACTCCAGTCTCACAAACAGGGAACCGTTTCCAGAGCTGTGAACTGGCAGAAGGCAGGCAAGAGACCAGACACACCTTCCTTTTTAATTTCTGCTGAACAGAGCTTAATATTGGTAGGCATAAAAATGCAGGACTTCGCTTTGAACTTCAAGAAAACTTATCAAAAATATACTGAAATAAAGTTATGGGCACATAAAACATTCTTATTCTATACCTTGAAAGTATTTTCACCCCAGAACATTGTAAATACTTCTAGCAATATTTAATATTGCCCCAGTAATACAGTATTCACGTAAAGGTCTACTTTGGTATTTTGAAGTGAAATCAAATCCTTGACGAGAATGGATGTCCTTTTTTCACAAATTGTTCCAGAGAATGTGCTGAAACCAAATTCTTTCTATAAAGCTATTTCTGTGTTTTATGTTTAATTTGCGTAAATCCATGCCATAAAGGAATTAGGCACGGAGGTCATCTCCCAGTATATTAAAATGTAGCATGAGGTGTTTGTTTTTTTTACATTAGAAATACAGAAACAGTTGTTTCTATCAGCTCAAAAGGAGAGCTTTTATGGTTTGTAGCCACAGTAAAATGGACCAGTTAGTTGCATTTTGAATGCAACAATATTGCACCTCTGGTTTGGCCTAGCAGGAAAAATTTAAAAATGATTTTTCTTCGCCCCATTCACAGCAACACACTAGAACGTTTACCTAATCTTTCCTCAACAGCAAAAGTACAAAGTAGCCTTCTTTGAAGCAACAGAGTGTTGGCTGTTTGAAAGAAATCTCGGTAAAATGTAACTTTGAATGCCAGAGAGAAACAGCCAGTCCCTAAGTTTACAGATGCCTTTGGCGAGGGAGCAGGGGCCTACCCATCGCAAGTATGGTCAGGTTTACTGGAAACGAGGCCCCAGAAGCAGCAATATGGGAGCAAACGTACAGGAACACAACTTTTAATGACCCTCTGTAGGGGTAGCCTTCATGACCCTTCTGTAGCTGGACACAATCTCCAGCGATGGGACCCTTCCCCATCGGGAGAAAACCCTCCAGAGAATTCGGCCTCTTCAAGTCTTCACTAATTCGTTGCTCCTTAACCTGACCCGAAGGGCCAACTTTGAAATGATTTTTCACTTGTGATGATAGTTGTATTTGCACTTTGGATTCTTATCAAAATTAGCCCTTCCGTGAACTGTAGCATGGGAACACCTCATCTTAAATTTAACCCCACCTGGGTTCATTTTTGAAGCTATATTTCATACTTATTTCCTCCAATTGTTCCAAACTGTAATACTGTTTACCCTGTGGATTTCTCCTGTTTAAAACATCAGATTTGGTTGTTCACTTTTCACTTAAAAGGAGAAATATTTATTATATTACCATTGGTTTTTTTTTTAATTTTCAAAGCAGAAGTCTATTTATTTGCCTTTTTTTTGTTTCCTATTCAGAGTAGAGAAGTAGTAAAGTAAGACCGACAATTTCAAAATCTGGCATGTATCATTTTGTAAATTGTGAGTACCTCATGTGCTTTAAAGGATGTCAGTGGGCAGTAACTTTGTGTTAGACTGAGGCCCTGGCTGAGTTAAAGTTAAAGTTTTCCTGTTGTTGTCCCCAACCATTATCTAGCCCAGGGGTCTTCAAACTTGGCTCTTTTATGACTTGTGGACTTCAACTCCCAGAATTCCTCAGCCAGGCATTCTGGCTAAGGAATTCTGGGAGTTGAACTCCACAAGTCATAAAAGGGTCAAGTTTGAAGACCCCTGCTTTAGGATATCTGACTATAAACAAAAAACTATACACATCTACAGCTCTTATTTCTTAAACCAAAAGGAGAATAGCGATTGGGCTAAAGTGGCACAGAGATTTTGGTTTCAGTTTTTTCCCCTGTCCCTAAAACACGGTGATGTTTCAAGACTTGAATATTCCTTTCACATAACGGTTTGAAGCACAGATGTTGTGTAAGTAAAGAGGGGATTAGTTCCAATGTGAACATGGATTTAATTTATATTGTTTTGTATGTCCTGTGTTATACTGTTGAAGCATTCAATAAAATCTAAAAGATTAACTAAGCGATGCACTTTCATCTCAGTCACAGTCTAACAGAAACAAAAATCTCTCTTTTATCTTTTGTTTATTGTTACAGAGGATCTAGAGCAGGGGTCCTCAATCTTGGCCACTTTAAAACTTGTGGACTTCAACTCCCAGAATTCCTGGCTGAGGAATTCTGAGAGTTGAAGTCCACAAGTCTTAAAGTGGCCAAAGTTGAGGACCCCTGCTCTAGAATAGCCATTTCCAAGCCTACCACCACACAACAGGTCGAATGCTGCGAGTCGATTTAGAAAGACTTTTCAGCACCCCGAAATATTTTGCTGCCTCCCTCCATGTTCGCTGATCAAAAAATCAAAAGCAAAATTCAGCCTTTGCCGGAGCTGAGGGATTAAACCCTCCCAAATCTTCTCCTGAAGAACCAGGGTCAGCAGCCAGTCTCAGAAAAGCTACAATGACACTCGGCAGAATTTGATTTTCCGCCAACTGCTTAATCCATTCTGCCTCGGCTAAGCCGTTTCGAGATCAAATGCTTGCTGCCCTCTGCTGATGAACTTGCTTAATTAAGCTTTCTGTCATTCTAAAAAAAAAAAACAGTATTTCCCTTTTAACCATGCATTTGGCTATCAACAGATTCCCTACTCCCAGAATTGCCTCTGAATGCTATTTTGAACTTGTTCAGTAACTGCTACGCTGTACGGCGGTCAGTTGTCAGAAACCGTAAGAGATGACCCTATTCAATTAGGATGTATATTAAATTACTTCCTCAATCCTCAAGTGTCCACATCAGATCAAGACCAAGCTGTGTAAACAACAACACTACAATCCCCCACCCGCCAAGGAGACAAAATCACTGCAACTAACTGGATTTAGATTCTCAAACAATGATCCCAACTGTGATCTACTTGCCGCTGAGAAGTCCATATAAAGTACAAGATGAACAAGGCTGAAAGCAGGTTTGGAGCGTAATTAAAAACCAATTAAGCAACGGGTGTAGTAATCTCACTTAAGTAGCTGCCTTAGTAATCTCACCATTCTGCAAATTCCGCTTTCTTCCTTGAGCAGTTACATTTCACTGACTCTTTGAAGCAATA